CTCAGAGCCATGGCAGTTTTAGAAGTCTTTAGTGCAAACTATCTCAGTGCCATGACAGTTTTGGGAGCGTCCCTGAATTGAGTATGTGAGTTTATCATCCACACTTGTTCTGGGAGATGTCAGGACGTCCTTAGGTGATCAACTCGGAGACTGGGAGATTCTTGGATTTGATAGAAGGAAACCCAAGACCATCGCTAGTAGGTTGGAGGCCATCGCTAGTAGGTTGGAGACCATCGTATTAGGTGTTCTTTCATGTTGTTTTTTTTTTTACTAGTCCTAACCCAAGACATTGGCTCCACGCCTCTAAAACGCCCTTTCTCGATCTCCAGGACTCCTTCATTGCGGACTTGGTGGTTGGACTGCGGGCTGGTCAGCCGAGAAGCCCAGCGGTGTTCGTTTCGTGTTCTTCTCTGAGGCCACTCGAGGTTGGAGGTGACGCAACCTGCTTGGTCTGACCGCTCACGAGACCTTGCGCAGTTTTCTGAATGCTCTTGCGATGACCCCGGAGACTGAATCTCACCGCATGCGGCCTGCATGAAAGGAGCGTACTGGATCTGTCGCGACACGATTCCCAAGCAGCTTTCCAGCTTTCGGATAGCATCTCCTCTCTTTTGACCAATGTTGGAAGTGGATTCCAGACCTCCAAGGACTCCAATGGCTTTGTTTTTTTGGTTTCCCAGACTGCAAGGGAATTTGGAAGGACCTCTTTCAACTGCAAGCTGGGTCTGGACCCCGACGTCGAATTCCGCTCGGGTTTGGATCGATCCAGAATGGCCTTTTGGGTAGAACGCCCACTGTTTGCTTCTTTTTCCAAACTCTGTCATTTGTAATCCTACTCGTTTCTCCTACCCTTTCCTACTCCCCAAGCGAGTCTGAGTCGTGCTTGGCCCAAGGATCAAGACTGGAGCGCCTTGCCGCTCTGAACGTGCCCTGGATTGCATCGACTGTACGACTTGTGAGCGAGAGAAAAAAGAGAGAGAGAGAGAGAAAGAGAGAAAGAGAGAGAGAGAGAGAGAGTGAGAGAGAGAGAGAGATGAATGGAGATCGAGAGATGGAGAGATGGAGCGAGAGGGAGGGAGGGAGGGAGGGAGGGAGGGAGCAAGAGAGAGAGAGAGAGAGCTAGCTCCGGTCTTGGGTGAATCATGGCACGGTCCTTGAACAATTCCTCATGTGTGGTTATCTTCGTGATCCGAAGCAGACGACCTGCCCCCGCCCTCGCCCTCGCAGACTCGATGCAATCCGAGACTTGAAGAGCTATGGGTCGGGACATCAGCCGGACCCAAATCCACCAGGTTTCCGCCACAGCTCGATGAACAGACGCCGGTCCACAGCGGGTGGCCAGTGTTCCGCATGGAGATGGTGCCATGGTGCCATGGTGCCATCCGTTCGTGCCAGTCGCCATGGAGGTATTTTAGGGACACAAAGGCATGACCATCCGCAATCCCTCCACCCTCCAACTTGGTCACCTGGCTAGAAGGGATCCTGTGCATGAGATCTAGGGTGCACCCGACAAAATTGATCTTCGAAGTCTACAGCACTTCACTTCCTCCTCCAAGGCTTATCAAAGTACAACCAACTGCTGCGGATTGAGGCCAGAGGGCAGGGTGCCAGGGACAGCACCAGGGGTCCCTTTTTGGTGGATGAAGAGGATCCTGGGTATAGGTCACGTGTATGTTCCTCACTTCAATGAAAGTACTGTTATTTATGATCGGAATCAACTGCCACAATGCCACAAGGGGACAGCACTAAAGGGTCCATGTTTGGTTGGATGATGAGGATCCTGGACATTCCTGGACCCTTGGGAAGGCAGTGGCCAGCTGCCATTGAAATGGTTTTTGCTCCTATCACCCAAACCCCTACCAATCCAGTCGTACCTTCTCAGAAGGCACCTGGACCCTCCAAACCCACCCCAAACACCTTCTGAGAAGGTACTTGGATCCCTAGGGACTTCCTGTGTTTGGTCCTTCACCCGATGTTCTGCTATGTTTTGTCTATCACACAGTTCCTATTCACCCGGTGTATCACAAAAAGACTATTCTATCGAAAAATCACACAAACGTTCAAGCTATTCACTCAAGTTGTTTCTATGTCTTTCTTTTTTGTCTATCACC